TTCAATATTTAAAAAAGAAATCTTCCCGGGGGAGCATGCCCCCGGACCCCCCTAGAGGAGGTTAGGTCCACACACCACCTATAAAAATAGCACTTTACCCCTGCTTACACCTATATGCCGGGAGCTGATTATCGAGCCTTCATTGTAACAGTCGCGGGTACACTGTGTATTTGCGTGGGGATTGTTGCAGTAGAAAATTCTACTGTAGCGACCGGTACATTAATGGGAAACCCTAAATGTTTGAGCACCCTCTATGAACTGTCTCCAATTATAAATGGCTACCCCACAGCACCCCCAAAAGAAATATCTGGCACCGCCACTGAGCCTGCAGTGCAACCCCATTTTGAAGAAATGTGCAGTGCAACACAGGCTCATTGCAGCCACTAATGCTGTGATGACAGACACTTTTTTCTTTTCATTTCTTTGCACAGATTGCAAAGTGGCAAAGTGGCAAAGTATTATAATTTATTGTTCTAGCAAAGGGATTGCACAATTGTATCATGTATTTTTTGACCACACAGACCTATGGAGCATTGTTTTATTATCACTGTTCTAGCAAAGGAATGTTCATATTGATGTATTTTAATAAATGTTAACTTGGCCCATTACGTGACTATTTGTGATGGGGGGCCCGACAGAAAAAGTTTGAGAACCACTGAGTTAACCCAACCATACGTTTGCTAAAACTTCATCACCACCACCCATGATAAATCATTTTATATTGCAAGTTGCAGTGCTCTGTGTTAACAGTAAATCCTCAGGGCAGCAGTTTATGGATTCTTACAGGAAATTAATGTAGCTGTCCCAGAATGTGCTGAGTCTTGTAATTAAAAACATGTTTTAACTCCACTGCACGGCTCAGTTTCAGCTCACTGCCTCCACAGGAGCTCGCTGAAAACCCCTCCTCACAACAGCCTGGTGAGTCAAATTCAAAGGAAAGTCAGTTCTTGTTTAAAGGAGCTTCTGACCCCCCCTATACTCCTCCCTCCCATTCATCTCTTTCCCATAAAACCAGCGTTTTAACGTTAAAACACTAAGCAGACCCATGTGTTCAGCCAGGGCAGTTTCACTCTTTGCTCTCAGGGGAAACATATGACACAAACAGGGTGTGTGCTGTTATTCACAATATTATATTGAGTGAATAACATTTAAAGATGAATTTATGTAAATGCAATGATTTACTGTGTAGTTTCTAAACTATCACCACAGCTCGGAAATCCAGCCCTCTAGCTTTAACATTGCTCGGAGCAATTTGCTCCCCTGAGAAAAGAGAACGTTTTTTACTTTTTAAGTTTTTTTCAGTGATTTACAAGCCTCATGTAAATCCATGAAACATCTTATAGACCTACTGCCCACACTTGGGTAGAAAGGTGAAAACTACCTTGTTCCTTCACCAAGCTTTTCGAATAGCATGGTGTTTCAGTCCAATATAGCCAACCTAGAATATAGCCTACCTACCAGAATAATAAGACAGATAATTAATTTAATGTAGCCAGAGATGTGTGTTTCACAAACTTATGTTATGTCATATGTTTTTCCAGACAACCGTTAAATAAAGCTCATATATTCACCTGACAGTCATCTTTTGTCAAATTAGCACAAAGTTATAGGTGTAAACTTACTGAATAAAACAAAAGTGTTGTGGCTCTGTTAGGCTATATTTGAGCTAAATGCTAACATAAAAATACCAACACACTCACAGTGACAATGCTAACATGCTAAAGTTAGCCAGATATAATGTTCGCCACGCATATTTATCTTTATTTGGTGTGTTAGCGTGCTAACATTTGCTAATTGCTGCAAAACACCAAGCAACAACTGCTGCTTATATAAATCCTTTTTTTACATGATGGCGGTAAATGAAAAGTTATGGGATCCTTAAAACAACAAGAATATCTGTATTTAATCCATAAAATAGTTTTTTATATTTTTGTCCGGACCATAGTGTTGCTGATCAAGGTTGTCCTCTAAAAAGTGATTGTTGGTAATGTTAAAACAAACATGCAATTAGTAAATTGTATTCTAAAGTAAGAGAATCAAACGTAAACCTGTAAAATATTGTAATGTAATGTCTGCCCCCTGTAAATTACTACACACAGTCCTGCTGCAAGCTTTCATCCTGCTTATTGTCTGTTTTCTGTTCTTCCTCAGAAATAGGACAGGTTTGGCAAAGTTCTGGTGTGCCGTGGGTCACTGCTGTGCGATTACAGTCCAAACATGTTTTCATTGGCCTGAATTTAAGGGAGCTGCCGAATTAAAGAGCTCAAGTTTGGCTTCCTTGCCAAAAAGATATTAAGAGCTCTCGCTTTATCAATTTAACACGGCCACTGAAGGATTTCAGGGAGAAGAGGATTACTGTCGGAAAGGCTTGCCTGAGTGCAAGACTGATAGTGAAGGAAGATGTTATCTTGAAGAAGCAAACTCCCTCATCCTGCAGGCAGATTAAGAAAATCGCAGGGAAGAAAACTTGATTGTGTCTGTTTGCTTTTATGTCATTATATATCTGTATTTATCTCTCTGGATCTTACTTTTCAGTCCGTCGTCAAAACAAGTTTTCGTGTTATAAAGCAAGCACATTCTCAGCTGTGTTTGGTATTGGTATATCTTCTTTTTTCTGTCCACAGCCCTCTGAACTTTCTGTGGTTAAGTCTTGGAGAGTTTCCCAAACAATGGTATGCAATGTCCTAAACATCCCTCCTTATCCCCTTTTTCATATCGATTTTGTAACACTTTTGTTTGAAATGTTTCTCTTCTATTTTTGCTGGATCACCATCACATATTTTCCTCTGTTTCCACCCTGTTTTCTCTCCTCCACCCTCAATTCCTCTTTTCCCACCCACCCCAGTTTCTAATTGGATTTTATTACCATTCCTTCCAGTTTTTCCCAGGCAGACACAAGGAGGGAGGGACGACTTTCACTTCTCTCCTGGACTCTCTCACTTCAGCAGCGGCTCCCCTAAGACTTCATACTGCAGCATCTGGTAAGTCATTTTGATATTTGCCTGAGGTTTTATTATGTTGGCATTTCTCGGCACACAGCTGATCTACACATGTGCAGAGCAGAGATATGCCTGAAGGTTTTAGTGTTGGTAACAGCAGTACTGCCATCTTTTTGCCTTCCTTCAGAGCAACCAGTAAGAACTAAATTACCAGAAAGTGCATCATAGTGTAACGTAGACTGACTGCTGTGTAATGTTTAAAACATTAAGGCAGTGGAGTATTCAGACCCTTTTGTACATGTAGCACAACCGCAATAAAACGTTTGCATACAAAATCCTACTTTAAGTTAAAAAAGTTTTACTGATGTATTCAAGGTTAAGTACTATTTAGATGTTGTAGCTGGTCAATGTGGACCCAATTTTAACTAGCATATAATTGTTGGATTATTTTTTCTTAAATCAATCTATCACATTCATGAGCCCTTATTATAATCTAACAATCTTACTATATGAATTAAGCAGGCAATTAAAGCTGTCAGTTAAATGAGTGGAGTAAAAAGTGCAATGATTCTCTCTGAAATGTATTGTTTTAAAAGTAAATTAGTGGCCTAAAAATGGTACTATACAGTACTTCAGAAAACAACCAACTTCCAATTGGTACAAAGTCTAAAGAAGTGTGTTGTACAGTTCATATGTCTGTTTTCCACCTATAAGTAAACGTAAATTCATCTCTTGTTGGTTTTCTTCATAAATTCATGCCTAAAGCAGTCGTCGACAGCTGTTCAGACTCTCCAGTATTTGTCCTCTGTCTGCTCTTCTCTTCTGCCAGGAACGCTGACATGCTTTTCTCTCTCTTTCTGTTTCTTTCTGTTTCTTGTTGCCCTCCTCCTGTGTCTCTCTGTTATTTTACAGCTGTTGTGGTCGTAGCCTCTCAATAACAATAAGTGGACCTCCAGATAGATGACAAAGCACTATTTACTGTTCTCATGATTGTCTCACACCGCAAACAGCGGGTTTTTACTCATAAACATGGAGTCCACGAGAGAGCTGGTAGCTGAGCTCCTGCTCGGCTCATCAGTTCTCTTTATGGTCCTGTGACGCCGCCATGCTGCCAGACAGACGGCCGGACAAGGCCACAGGGAAGGAGAGATAAACAAAATCCATGCAGGAAAACAATGTAGGGGGGTGTGAAACCAGATACTCATTATATACAGGTTAGGTAGCACTACAGTTCATGTCTGTTATACTGTCCGGCACATCTGGGAATTGATGATACACAAACAGGAAACAGAAGCAGATGGAAAGAGAACATTTGAGGTTACTTATTTAAACTTTTATGAGTAACTGTTTCTGAGAAGTCTGTCTGGTATTCAGCATCGCATCACATTTTTACTTGTGAAATCTGCATAGAGACCAAGAGTGCCTTATTTTGTTTTTAAAGATATAAAAAGATGTGGCGCCAAGAATATGTGTTATGTTAGCCTCCTTATTTGAAAAACGAATATTTCGCATTAAACTTTATTAACTCTAATTGTGTACTCTGCAATTACACCAATGTATAATATAACATTATATATAGTAAAATGCATTTGGGCTCGAATCTTTTTTTGGTCAATTCTATTTAATTGTTCTCCCCATTACATTCTGCCAAAGGCTTCCTCATAACTCTCAACCTTTTATCAGAGAAAGCTGGGGGAAACATAACTACACCTGTGATAATAAACACAAGCTCCATGTCAGTGTGTCTCCAGTCAAATCCTAGAAAAGCTCTCCAATTATAAGCCTGTTTTAATATTTTTTAAAGCTGATAGATTTAATTAAGATACCTGAGTGGAGTTGGACACTTTCACAAGTCATCTGTTTTAAATTACTGGTTTCCTATGAGTTTTGGCAGTACTGACATATAATGAGTAATGCCAGCTCAGTAATATAATAAGGTAATTTCAGTTTTACTTTGACCTCGTTCTGCCCGAGGCATTTCACATAAAAAAATATAAATGAGTATTATAATAATTTACATTCATTTGATCCATTTACTTAACTACATCTCAAGAATAGCTTTTGTAATCCTGTGCCACAGAGTGATTGACAAGAACAGGTAAACTGAGACTTAAATTATGTTTTTACACTGTGTGATTAAATACGCTACTATTTCAATATTTATATGTGCTTTCCCAGCCTCTGTGATCTGATGAAGTTGATTTGCAGTGATGTTTATAGTGGCATTTGTGGTGCTCTTTAGCTTAAACACATCACTATTTTCCCATTGTATGTCGTACAGTCTAAACGTTGGTGTTTCTCTTCCACAGACTCGCTTGTAATCCTTCATATTTCCTTTATCTTAACCCTGTCCAAACCGTTTTTCTCTTTTGTCCCTCAGCCCTGACGCTGCAATGTCCTCGCTCCGGCTGTTGCCTCTGTTGCTCTCCCTCCTTCTCCTCCAAGTTCATCTCTCAGACCAGTTAGAAGACAACAAGATCCCCCCCAGTCTGTGCACTGGTCACCCCGGTATCCCCGGCTCTGCTGGAGCTCACGGTGGTCCGGGTCAACCAGGAAGAGACGGGAGGGACGGGAGGGACGCTGCTGCGGGGGAGAAGGGACAGATAGGGGAAACAGGAGGCCCAGGTGCTTTATTTAATTTATTCATGTTCGAGTATGTGACAGAGGTGTGGACTCCAGTCCGACTGAAGTCAATAATGTAAAGACTTATAACTCGACTTGGACGACTACACTAATGAGGCTTAAGACTTGAAAGTACATGATCACTTCCCCCAAGTCTGAAGATTAAAATAAGGCTACCACAATTTATTAATTTCCCTTCATTTTGAATTGTTAAAATAAAACTATTCCATACCAGCAAGTTATAACACATGTATCTTTTGTGGCACATACAGTTCATGTCGTGTCATGTGACCCAATGAATGCAAGTCAATGCAGCCTTGTAACAAGAAGGACCTACCTCTTCATATATTAATGCTTTTTCTATTTATTATGAATAGTTTAATGAAGGTTCTACATTTTTTGATGAATAGTCTATAAATTATTTTCAACAGCTTCCCTTTCAGGTGAACCATTGACTCCCAGTCCGTATTACTACTACACTGGGCAAGAAATATGCACCAATTTTAATAGGATTTTATTGCTTTTTCCTTTTGACCTGAATATTGTTATAAAGATTTAGCAGTTTCTGTTTTAAAAGGTCTCATGTCGTATCAATGGCTTCAATGTCATTCAACCCANCTCTCTCTCACACACACACACACACACACACACACACACACACACACACACACACACACACACACACACACACACACACACACACACACACACACACCTAGGCTTCATTGTATGCCTTACAATACAGTGTTTGTGTATTTTTTCTTACGTTTGTCATTGCTCTCTTTATTATATTAACAGCCCTTTGAGTCATGCTTTGTGATATTGGGCTGTTATAAACTTTCACTTGACCAGGATAATCAAAAACCCTTTTTCTGACTTAATGCTCATTATTAAAAAAAAAAACGGTTTTAAACAAACTTGTAACCAAAAACCTGTTCTGTATCTTGTGCGTTTGTGTTTCTGACTACTGTCTCTCCCACCTGCTTCCCCTTCAGGAGGTCTATATTTGACATGTTCAATTTCTTGGCATCAAAACATCGCCAGCCTCCTGAGTACAGGCAGCAAGAAGACGATGATGATGAAGGGCAGATCCGGACAGCTAGGTCAGTTTCTAAAAACACAAAATCTCCGTTATGTATTCACAGTAAATACTTTCTGTCTTTGTGCCACTGCTACATTTCAATGTCTCCCCTAAAGGATCAATTAAAGCTTAAGACTGTTAACAGTTCTAAAATAAGATTTTGAGAGATTATCACTTAAGACCACAGCATTCATTTTTCATGTTGCTGTTGCAGGCGTGCCTCCATGGAGCTTCCCCTGGCTGTGAGATTCAAACAGCTCAAGGTCACATCTAAGGAAACGGTTGGAGTTTACAGGTAATCATTTATAAATCTTTTAAGCTGATAAAAAGCTGTAAAATATGAAGATAATATACAATGTGACATGACAAAATGCAGTCTTAAACCATTACTGTAATTAACTGTATCCCTCTACAGGTCTCCCATTCATGGCCGAGGTCTTTTCTGCAAGAAACCCATTGATGCTGCGGAGATGATCATTGAATATTCTGGAAATGTCATCCGGTCTGTGCTCACTGACAAACGGGAGAAATATTACGATGGAAAGGTGAGATCTTAGGATCTTAACTTAAGAGTTAAAGATGTATTCGTTCAATGTTTTAACCTGACTTATAGGAGTATGACATATCATTCATAAAACCTTAAACCTCTGTTTTTTTTTTCCCTCAAAGGGGATTGGCTGTTACATGTTCCGCATCGATGACTATGAGGTGGTGGATGCCACTGTGCATGGCAACGCCGCCCGCTTCATCAACCACTCCTGTGAGTCTAACTGCTACTCCCGGGTCATCACTGTGGACGGCCAGAAGCACATCGTCATCTTCGCCTCTCGACGCATCTACTGTGGAGAAGAGCTCACCTACGACTACAAGTTCCCCATCGAGGATGCCAGCAACAAGCTCCCCTGCAACTGCGGCGCCAAGAAGTGTCGCAAGTTCCTCAACTGAACTCTAAACGACTGAAAGAGGACTGCAAATCTGTGGAGCAGTGCCGCCATGTTCTGATTGTTCAGGTGGACTTCCTGGGTCCGGCCTGCGTAGGACCGCTGCCATCAGGGCGCGAGCTTTGACAGTGTTTCTGCTGCACGTGTTGGCAGGAAACACTGGCAGCGGCCGCGGGTCGTACTGTACAAATAGGAAGGGCCATTTTGGAGGAGGGGCCACTTGTAGAGATTCCAACATATTGTGCCTCCTTTTGTCTCATTAACAGTTGGCATGGGGAGATCACCTTCAGAGGTGAGTCATGAAACAGTTTGGCCTTCATAGCATCGCAATATTAACTTTAATTTACATTTGGATGATAAAGTTACCCCTTCATATTTTTTACATTGGCCCATCCTCCTTAATTTTATAAAAAATATTTTACGGTCTACTAATGCTGAGATTTGAAAATATTCAAAGAACTCGGTTCCGTTTTACACCAAAGTGCAATTTGTTGAAGGGACTGGGAAGAGATATTTTACTAGAAAGAAAAATTGTTAAAATCTTTTTTTTATTTATATTGCAGTGTCGGATGTTATTGATGCACATCTCCCTGTCTGAATATTTGCTGATGCCTTCAGAGCTGTTGTGATTTACAGGAACCTTCCCCTAGGTGTGTACATTAACACTGTAAATAGGAGCTGCTTTTCAGTGAGCAGCCTGACAGGAGCTGTACCGGTCGAAACAGCAGGGGGAGCTGTGGCCACAGAAAGGAAGAGAGAAAAAAGAGACAAGCGGGTAGAAATGTAGATTTGTTTAAAAAAGAAAAACGTTATTTTTGGCCGTTCCTGTATGGGATGATATCTGAGGTCGATAGTATCCGTTGTACTTAAATTGACTTTGGTCTGACAGCTATGTCGACATGTTATCGGTGGGATTAAGCCTCTGGCATGACAGAGCGAGGCAGCTAGAGATTCTGGTGGACTGACAGCCAAGGGACTGGAGAACCCTACTGATGTGCTTTAGTAGACGTATTTAAAATCTTTTGGAGCAGATCTTACAGAAACATACAGATCCATGCTGTTGTTATTATCAAACGTGCTTTTGGTAATTATTATATAAGCTCTGACTTTTGAGTCTCGTTCCAAATTACAGCAGCAGAGAGAACCAAACATCACGCCCTTGAATTGAATTTTCACACAGCTGGATTTCTTCTTGGCCTGTTGTGATAACCATTACTATGGAAAATGTTTTTTTTAATTTGTATTACGTCTTTTAAACTCTTGTCTGTTTATCTTGTCTTTTTTATTATGGACATGAAAATATCAAGCTTGCTTTGAAAAAACAAATGTAAATAATGTATATTTTTCTACAAAAAAAAGACTTAAAAAGCACTCACTAGTGAATAGCACTAAATGATGGTATTTATATTTTTTAAGAATCGTATTTATTTTGTCGCCATTTTTGTAGGAAATAGAGGTTTACAGACACTAATGCTCGGTCTCTATGTTTTGTATTCCGCTGCCTTTTCGAAGTTGTTTTGGTTGTAATTTCGTTTTTTCTTTGTTTTCTTTGTAGCCTGAATGTTTTCTTTGATTCCAAAGACTGACACTGGTCTGTGGCTTGGTCCCGTTGAGTTCAGTCCACCAGTAGCTCTCTTATCTATCGCGGGCGGTTAGTTCTGAGCTGACGGTTATTTTCCTTGTCCCAGTTCTAGCTGGCAGTATGGCAGTCGTGAACTATTATTATGCACTTGAGAGAGCAAAGATTGTTGATCCATAGCAGATATCTCCTCTCTCCAGCCTTATTGTCACCACATCACACCACACCGAGAATCATCTCCACTTACCGGCCGCTCCAAGGCAGTCCTAACAAAATGTTTCTCTTGTCACGTTTAAAACTTAAGTCCCATCAAACTGTTTTATCCCTCTGCAGACGTATCATAAAGAGGTGCCTTTATTTTAATGCTAGCAACAGCATTCACTAAAACCCAGTCGAGCCAATCTGTTTATTAAAGAAACCACTTCCATCAAGAAATCACTGCTTATCCTCTCTCTCACTCTCCCTGTGGTTTGCCTTAGTTGAAAATGAGCATGCCTCGTCTCTCTGACAAGCCTTCATGTCCCGGACCGAATATTTGATCAGACTGTTTAGACTGACAGGTTCCCCTATGCGACTTAAGTCTTTGTTTTTGTCCCTTCTTAACTAATTTATTGTTGTCCGTCATTCACGCTGACTTTGTCATCACCTAAAGGCCGTTAGCAGTTCCTCCCACACTTCTTCCTAAAACAAAAGTATGATCCACACGGTTTGCACTTTAGCTGTGACACGGGCACTGAACACACATAGGACAACCCTCTCTCCAGACAATGCAACTCCAATACTGAAAACCACAAGCACAGATAGTCATTGAAAATACTTGGAGTTTGTGCATCAGGCCGTGGTATAAAACTGAGTTTGGTCATTTTGAATTACTCTTGATGATAAGCGTTTGAGGCTCTAGCAAAGTGCACTTGACTCTTTTTCTGCAACAAAGTGAAGGCAGGGACCACTCCAGCAGCCCTTCCTTCCTGAAGGTGCAGCGTGTACAAAGCTCGGCTAGGCTTTTCCATTTAGGGCCCCAGATCAGGTCATGAGGTGACTGACGGGCCGGTAGTTGTACAGCTGCACCTTCATCGGGCTCGCTGGGATCAGCTGCTAAGGTCAACTATGAATGTATATTCCTTCTCCACAACACCAGACTTGTGATACTTTGTCAGCTACATTTGTTTTCAGTTCTTGCGTCAACAACCTTGGTACATATGGACGATATGTAGATATGACCTCAAACTGGGCGGCAGCAGCGGTTTAATTTCAGCTCTGGGAATAATAATAAAGTGTGAACAGCAGTGGCGTTTCTGTCTGTGGGACAACATGTTCTCACTGGGTTAGCTCAATTCTTCTCGCCAGCATCGGTGATACAAACATGTTAACTGATGCCAAGGGCTCTGTACGGCTCTCACTCCTCGAGATCCACTTCGGTGAACAATAAGTCATTTACTCCACTGTTTAACAGCATATATACAATAAGGAAATGGTGTTTGTTGTTTCTCTGGATTTCATTTTACCACGCCACACCAGTGGCTCTTCATCATTATCTGTAATTATAGTATAAATACATAACAATATTATACGGAAACATGCATAGTAATTTCTTGTACTTTAGTATCTATACAATATATGGAATGGACAGACAAACTTAGTTACAGTAGCAAAACAGCAGATTTATAATGGTTAATAGCAATGTTTCAATGTACTCTATAATGGTTTTGTGTTACAGTACTATCAGATGAAACTTAACGTGCATCATTCTTTCGTATCTTGATATCCAGTACCAATTTTGCTGTGCCTGCGAACGTTCCTCCATCACAAGGAGCACTGCAGTTTTTCTTTTCACTTTTGTTTCTGGAAAGGATCGGTTTTTATGTGATGAGAAATGTAACTGTATTAATGTGGTTGTAAACTTCTTGAGGTCAGCCATTTTGTTTTTATCCCCTCTGGTTGATGTAGTGAATGTTTTTTTTTCTTTGTACGTTTTAACAGGGAATTTTTTTTTAGAAGGCTTACTTGATGTGGTATAAATTAAGAGTTTGGTTCAGTGGAGACTCACCAGAAGTTTTAAAGATCTTACCAAAATGCAGTTTTACCATTTTGGAAAACCTCTCATGTCTCCCACCTCTCTCCTCCGAAGCTTTGGTTGTACTTATCATGTACTGTTTTTTGTTTTTTTATAGAAAGTCATAATGCTGATGTTGAAAACTTTTAATTTATTTATTTTGTGCAACATCCACCCTGAATTGTTCTTTTACAAGTTAAAGTTTGGGAGAGGTCGGATGAGTACGTATTTGTAATTTTCTAATTGTTTCTTGTGTATAGAAGTTATCAGCCCATGGGATGTGGTGCCACAGAGCGAGCGGCTGTAGGACGTGCGAAAGAGAGGAATCATGGGTCATGAACAGGCTTGTTTCTTATGCCTTGAATATACCTTTGTCTTATCAATATTCCTCCTGCTCTCCGTAATAGCGGTATTCATGATTTCAACATCATATTTTCTCCCGTTTTTAAAAAGTGTTCTTTCAATACACATCAACAAAATGAAGGATGACTACCACAGTAAAACAGACCACAAACTACTTGGTTGAATGTATAATTAGGAAACAAAGTTGTAAATACGTGTAAAAAGAAAAGTTTCTAATCATGTTTATTTTCTATGCACTTTTTTATTTAAGTGATAGTTTAAATAATAAACATGTCTCCTTTACTCTTCTTTGTCTCTTGCTTCGTTTAATGAATGATAAAAAAACGTATATTATCTTAGCAGTGTCTAGCTAATTTATATCAAAAACAAAAATATATATTCGATTGAAATGTTTAGATTCTATGATTCGATCAAATCTCTGCTCTCTGGATGCTGCAAACATCAGTCTGCTTTTTGACGGTCTTTCACCAAAATGTCTCCAAAAACTGAGAAACTACAAGAGTTCATTTGCAAGCTTTGATCACATTGCCCCTCTCCTCGTCTCTTGAGAGAAGTGTTCCCCAGGGCTTGGAGCATATGGTTTAGAAAACAACAGGAAAATTAAATCGCTCTTATGGAGGTTTTGACCACATGGTGGTTCGATCACATAATCTTCATTAGCAGATAGTTTTAAGCCAACAGGATGAGGACTCCTTAAAAAGCTTTTAGAACATTCAAAGGAACTGAAGCTGCATCAAAGGCTCAAGAGGAGCTGCTTTATGGACCCTATTCTCAAAAGCTGTTTCCAGGTAAGGCATGAACCTTAAGCCACACCAACCAGTTAATGTTTTTATTTTATTTTTACTGTTTACTTTTTTAGTGAATATTTGAATTTTATTTTTTTGAGGTTTTATAAACAATGGTATGATATCAGATTAGATTAACCAAATACAAACTTGCATCTCATTCATTTTTATTTATATGTTTAATTTATTGGAGCAAGTTATCTCTGGGCTCATTAATGTGTTCTTTTTTTGTGTTCAACATCTAGATTATGTGGGAAATAATTGCATAAATTCACAGTTTTTTTGTGAAAGGAAGGACTTTTTATGCCTTTTTATTCAGTTAACCCAGTGTTTCTCAAAGTGGGGGGGCATGACAGGGGGCGAGAGACCAGGAGGAAAAATGGTTATGGAAAAAAAATTAATTTGGAAAAGTATTGATTCGAAAATAATATGATACATTACAGTACAAGTACGTCTGGGTCTCTGTGTTTCATTCAAGCCCGGCTCTGTGTGTGTGTGTGGAACGAGCCATTTTGTGTGCGAGAGAGAGAGCGCACCGGTACCGGAGATTGTTGTTGTTAGCTTCTGGTGCTAGTGAGCTACGCTAACGGATATAAGTAGTTTTTTCAACAACAAAGTGGAGGAGAGTCCTCTCCTGTCAGACTGAGAGCTTCAGTGAGCTAAAGGACTCTCTCAGTGTTATCTCAGTGGGTCTCAAACGTTTTGGTCACCATCAATGTAAACAATTAATTCCGAGGCACACGTTTATATGATCATTATAGTTATAAAAACATAAGAGAATAAATGAAAAACAGGTATGAAATACTATATGACAGTAAAACAAGAATACAGTTTAAAAGGGTGATTTGTAAAATATCCATAAAGAAAAAGTAAATCTGTTTACAGTTCTGTTTCAAATGGGTGTTGAGAGATGTATCCATAGATCTCTTCATTCTGCTCTCAAAGTGCACCAGATTGATGCATTTAACTTCAATATTTAANGTGTGCCTTGGCAGTCTCAGGTGAACCATTGACTCCCAGTCCGTATTACTACTACACTGGGCAAGAAATATGCACCAATTTTAATAGGATTTTATTGCTTTTTCCTTTTGACCTGAATATTGTTATAAAGATTTAGCAGTTTCTGTTTTAAAAGGTCTCATGTCGTATCAATGGCTTCAATGTCATTCAACCCAATGACTCCAAATCAATGCAGCATTGTATTACTACACTAGACGAGTAAGACACACCACTTTCTATAATAATTGTGACTTGGTCCCACCTTTGTTATGTGAGGCATATCTGAAGTTAATTCTGATGTCTGTGCTCCTCCAGGTGAGACAGGAGTGCGAGGCCTGACGGGGGACCGAGGTGATAATGGAGGAAAGGGGGAGAGGGGTCAGGCAGGAGAGTGTGCAGTCGCCCCAAAATCTGCCTTCAGTGTCAAACTCTCCGAGGGCCACGCTCTACCCCTCACTGTGGGCGATGTGGTCCGTTTTGACCAGGTTGTGATCAATGAACAGAGCGACTACAACACGGAGACGGGGCGCTTCACCTGCAAAGTGCCAGGAGTTTACTACTTTGCAGTCCACGCCACAGTGTACCGAGCCAGCCTGCAGTTTGACCTGATGAAGAACGCACACATTGTGGCATCTTACTTTCAGTACTACGGCAACTGGCCTAAACCAGCGTCTCTGTCGGGCGGCTCCCTGCTCCACCTCGTCCCTGGGGACCAGGTGTGGGTCCAGATGGCTCTCTCGGAGTACAATGGATTTTACTCCAGCACAAAGACAGACAGCACTTTCAATGGCTTCCTGGTCTACTCAGACTGGAAAAACTCTGCTGTGTTTGCATGACACGTGCATATGAACAAAACAAAGTCATATTCTACTTTGGGAAATGACACAACCTGCCTTTTATTTTCCTTTTTCAGTTTTTCTAATTGAATAGTTCCGGATAGGCAGTGACTTGGTACATCTGTATTTGTGTAATGAGTATAAAACACTCCAGACTTTGTTACTTTAATGGCACATGCCTTACTGGTGAAGTGTGAGGCATATGCGCTGTTTATTCAGTGTCTGTTCTTTATCTGCAGCCTTTAAACTGCTGCAACACTTTAATCTTGTAACAGATGTTTGACAACGGCCTCCAGCCAACAACAGTCTACAAGTTCAAACCGCTTTTATGTTTTGTATTGCACTTTTGTTTTCCTCAATAATATCTGCACAAAAAAAATAATAATTGTGTTTTGAAAACACAAGTGACTGATATTTATTTTACCTTAAATACCAATGCACGCTTTATACTTTATATAGTAAGTTAGTTCTACAATTTGAGCTTCAATTTTTAAACTTGATATCTGTGTCAGTTTCACAACATACCTGCCTGTGGACACCTCTGTTTTATTATATATATACATGTACATACATTTACATTACATGCAGTTTTGAGAAAAAGTACTCCGATCCTTTACTATTAGTACCAATGAAACAGTGTAAAAACACTATTCCTAAAAATCCCTACTGAAGTTGATTATGAGCAAATTGAAATTAGATTCTTACGGAGCCCCTAAAGGGACATGAAAAAAAAAAAAAAAAAACAGAGAGAGAAAAAAAAAAGTCAGGATAACGGGTTAGTTTCTCGTGCGCACGAGATACTAACCCGTTATCCTGACTTTCTTTTGGGGA